TTAAAAAAAAAAAAGGGCTTTACCAAGCCACAGGCTATAGCCACTCTCATGGTACAGGTAGTCCTTGGATTACGACCACTTGTTCAACGACAGTTCAGCATTACAACGGCACTGAACAAGGAGGACTTACGACTGGTCCCATGGTCACGTGATCGCAATTTAGGGGCTTGGCAACCAGCTCAGAATTACAATGGTTGCAGCGTCCCACAGTCACATAATTATCATTTGTGACCTTCCCTGCCAGCTTCCCACAAGCAAAGTCTGTGGGAAGCCAGCAGGAAGTCACATGTCACTCCTGCTCCTGCTGCTTTTTCGCCCGCCCATCCGTACTCCAAAGCGCCTGCCCGCGGCACCTGCCCACACTCTGTAGCACCTGCCCGTGGCACCTACCCACTCTCCATAGTGTCTGCCTGTGGCACCTGCCTGCCCGCTCATGTTCTGTAGCGCCTGCCTGCAGTACCCATCTGTGCTCCATAGTGCCTGTCTGTGGCACCTTTCCATGCTCTGAAGCACCTGCATGTGGCACCTGCCCACCCACCCATGGTCTGTAGCGTCTGCTTGCAGCACCCGCCAGCCTGCTTGCCTAGGACTCCTGCCTCTTCCCACATTGCGGTCACATGAGGTCCTCGCTTAATGACCTACCAGTCCTGGCTTAACAACAGCAACTGGGACTGCCAGAATTGCCATCACTAAGCAATGCAATCATGTGATATCACGCTGCAATTATGACTGCATCACTTAGCAATGAAAATTCCAGTCCCAATTGCCGTCATAATCCGAGGACTATCTATATTGTTCTCAAGAGAAAATAACAAAAGACAAAAAAAATCCTCTGTGTTTTGGCAGTTTGCATTGCCTGCCTTTCCTAAGGATCCTCTTCGAACATTAAGGCATATCTCCCATAAGACATGAACAGATCACTTTCAAGCCTTTTTAGTGACACTAGCTGCCTGTCAGTATTGGACATCTGTGTAAAAGACATACTAAGCTGGACTTTGGTGACTATTTGAGTCCACCAAACTCTCTCAGCCAGAAAAGGCAAAGCTGCTCAGAGATCTCAGCAGCAAATATTGATTGGTGGGCTCTAATTTTGGCTAAACTGTTCACATCCATCCATCGTACACTTCACATACCAGCTGATTGGTGTAAATCTGTTACAGT